TTAGAAGATGATAATGTTGTAGAAGTTTGCAAAGTTATAAATAATTCATGTAACATTAAATTTGAATTCTATGTAAAAATTTCTTGATATAATTATGAATTTATCATTTTGTTCAATTCTTAGTTTACATTTAATAAAAAAATATATTTTTTGCTATAAATATGAAAATTTCTATATTTTTATAATTTTATTTATACAATTATACGGGCCAAAATCGGAACGAACCGCGATCCTTGACCCGCATGGGCTCGACCCGGATGGGTCAGCGGGCGGGCCTGGGTTGTAGTCCAAAATTGTGGGCCAACCCGTAACCGGCCCGGAACCCCAGCGGGCGGGCTTTTTTTCACGCGGGCCGTTACCGGACTCACATGTTGGCGGGCCGACCCGGCCCGGACCACCCGGATTGACACCTCTAGGCAAGGGGCGGGGCAGAGTGGGGGAGAGGCAGGGCGGGACCCCCGCCCTGAACCCGCCCCACTGCCATCCCTAAAAGGCAAGGCGAGGCGGGGCGCGGCCCCCCCACTGCCATCCCTAAAGAGACCAGTCTGCACACATTAAACGCTATAGGAGACCATAGCCAACATCAAACAAAAATCAAAGATGGGTACCAATTCTCCCCAAGACAACAAGAAATGTATCAATGAATTATAGAGACCGGTATAACAGAACTGACAAAATTCGAAGGCAAAATGTAGACGCAGAGAGAATAATTTTGTGACTGTTTTTATAGAAGACTCAACAGCTACCTCTATCAACGCAGTCGACCTACTTCAGCTTTTAACTCACCTGGAATTGTCCCTTTAGTGCATCTTTTAGACTCCAAAGATTAAACGGACAACTCAGCCGCATCGAGGGTGTAAATAGAGTGAACATCAATAAATCTATTTATTGACCAAATCTATTAGACCAAACAAATCAATATCCAAAAAATTGCTACATGTTGGCTGATAAATTCTAGCTTTCTTCCAAGAGCAATTCACTTTCATCTCAAAAGATTATCTTAAACGAGACAATCTCTTCCTCTTCCTATTCCTTTTACACGCAGCAGCATTCTTTGTGCCATTCTTGGAGCTAGAGGGCAAAGAAAGCGTCGAACATGGCTTGCCACATGATGTTCTGCCTTTCTTAGCAACCCACTTCAATGGCATATTATTTACTACATTTCCAATATCACTGGAGTTATTCAGCTCCACAAGCTTTTGAATTTGATCGAGCATTTGGTGAGTCCAGGCAGTTGAGAGGTCCAAAGCAACTGAATCATCAAGTGGTTTTATCCAGAGATCCATCAAGATATTTTTAAATGACTGAAATGACATCGAAGGTTGATAGCACTTGAGATTTTCACAAATCATATTGACCTTAATAACATGTTTGCAGAGGTTTCCTTGCAATGACCACATGCAATCACAATGTGCAAATTCAGAACCAGGATTCCACACATGACGTGTTAGGCTGCTGTCTTTCTGACTCAAAACCTTAGCAAAGAGGCGATCCTTATCATCCAAAGTAACAGCACTGTCAGGGATTTGCAGGGCCCGATGCCATGAAGTAGAAGTAATATATTCCTCCTTCACATTTTGAAATGAATCACTTTCGTCTGCATAACGGTCAAGCCAGTAGCTCGAGTGTAACTCAGTTGTCAACCTGTGCACTAACCAATCAACCCTCTTGAGTGAACCAAGATTTGCATCATCATATAATTTAGCTTTCAGCTTCACATGATATGCTTCAAGTGCACCAGATGCCTCCTGGCTTGCAAGTGGAAGCATCTTCATTGACGTGAGCCACATTTCTGCACCACATCAAGTAATTAAGATTTACAAGGACAACAGAAAAAAGACAATGAGCATGTATGCTTAATGGTTACTTTTCTAGAAAGCAAGTTTAGTAAGTATTTTTAGTGACAAAAGTAGCTGTGGAAATCATGTTTGGAAAAAAAAGAACCTTGAAGCAACTTTTACTTCATTTTTAGGTTAGCCAAACATGCTCAATGTCAAGAGACAAAATTAACAGATATAGTACAGAGTGGAGTCATCTAACCAATTTTAGGCACCCAAGAGTCCTTGAAGTATTGCATAAAGGAAGTTTGATCAACAAAATCAAGAAAAAACTTCTCTAAAGCAGCGCCAAAATCCACTCCACCCCATATGCTGTACACTATTTGTCCCAGGTGTTTAAACATCTCTCGTTGAACTTCTATGTTGATGCATTTCTTAACCACATGCTTTAGCCATGATCTGCGAATTCGCCAAAGAGAAAATAGTATAGGGCAAGAAAAAGTCTCCCTGAAAAGCCATTTAATACAAGTCAATGACCAGTCAGGTACTGGAAAAATTAAGTCTAACACAAAAGAATGATAGAAAAAGCATCCTGCCTTATGGGATCAATCTCTGCAACTGCATCGTCAATAATAATTCCATTGACCTTCCATCCAGGATCAACAGCACGAACACGAAGGAGTACAGCTTTCATCCACTTTGCCACATCCAGCTTGGCAATGCTACGAGTAATAACCCAAGCAACGGGGAGTGCATGTTGTCTGGAGTCAAACACAAGCAGCGTGCACAATGGGTACTGCCATCAAAATAAATCATCAAATAAGAATTGTTCTCTATAGTTAGGTTTTCTGGAGTGTTTCACAAAAGAACCATTTTTTACCTTTAATCTTTTTATTCCAAATGTTGAATCAATTGCTATGATATTTCGATGGCCAAAACGAATCATTTGCTGCAACTGCCATTCAGTTTGGATTCCCAAAATGAAAGGATCGGTTTCTGATGTATCCTGATAAAAGAAAATAGATTTCTTATTGCGTTCAATCCACAAGCGTATGCTAGCTTGGTCATCTAGATCCAACTCATGAGTGGAACGTTTGATAATCATCCCAAGTTTGTGGACATATTGAGAAGCTAGGCTTTTGACTTTTGCATCAGAACCACAATAACGTTGAATACCCTCCATATGCTTCTCCAAAACATTTTCCTCAGGGATGCCAAGGTAGATCATCGACATGGTTTGCTGTTGAACTTCACTGCATACATACGGAATCTTCTTGGCACCGGGGCCTATTGCGTCTCTATCCAGTGGCCCATGGCAGACAAAACCAGCCTTATTTACATGACGCCTATCATTATATATGATAAGAGAAAGAGATGGACGGGCGTAAAGACGCTTCACTACGAAATGGCATGTACAGCCCCTCATGGATTGAGGTCTAGCTGCACGATTTCGAGTGTTTAACCGATATCTTCGACTTGGTAATATACCTCCACCTTCTCCGTAATTTTCAGGGCCAAAGGAACACCAATACCTGCAAAATATGTACAATGTGCTTATATTCTTGGGGGCATTTCTATATCTATACAGAAAGAAAACTCTGATTCATGATTGTTTCCAGTTGAGGTGCTGTATGCTTAGTCTTGTAATAGACATGAGACAAGATGAAGTCAAAGGATAGACTGTGAATGTGTACTTTTAAGAGTAAATATCTTAGGGTAACAACCTACAGAAAAGCAAAATGAAATCTGGTAGGATGGAGTTTAAAATGCGGTGGCCTTTTATGCATCAGGTGAGGATGTAAAATGAAAAGGTTTGATGTCATCCAATCATGGGTATTCTGGTGTAACATATGTTCGATGACCTTAGAGGCAAAGACTACTGGGTTTGACCCGATGCTTAAATATAACAAGAAGTTTTAATAGCATTTCCTCTGTGTTCAGAACGTCTTTTACATCTCCAATTATGTCAAGCATCAATATCCAAATATTTGCATCCTGAATAAGATCAATCATTTTAATATTCATGTTTGGATAAGTATCAATGGTTAAAAAAAAAAATACTAATAACAAATACAGGATTCTAGACCATAAAACTCGGTTCTTTATTTCCTAACTGTCACACACTTCCCTTCATTATTTTCTTATCCCTGCCAAGGGGTGTGTAGGAAGTGCAAAAATTTTAATTATGTCACTCAAACAAGATTATAAGAATCAATGAAACCATGAACTAGGTAGCAATAATTACAGAACCTCACACACATAAATACATGTAGAATATTAGGACCCTCTACAGCTAACTAGTGCTATCTATTATTTTTCAACAAAGCTAGTTTACTTATATACCCCCTTGTGTACATCATAGACCACCTTTTGAATATTTGAATAGCGTACCATAACCTTACCAAACGCCACACCAGTAGTAACTAAGTAAAAGACTACCCAAAACAAAGTAACTATTTTTTTTTTTTTAATAACCGTGGATGTCCGGGCCAGTTTGCGCGCACCTCGACTAATTTCACGGGGCCTCGAAGTTTACGATTGGGTACTCACTTCAGTGGCCCTGAGGGGACTCGAACTGATGACCACTGGGGAGCAAACCCAAGGCCTGATCAATTGAGCAACCCCTCGAGGTTGAGCAAGTATTTTACATACAACAAACAATAAAACAGTTTCAAAGAAATTAATCATTAATTTGCAACAAGCAGGTAACATAAATAAGAGTAGAGTTTAAGCAGCACAATATATGCTCATGTTGGGCACTCCAAGAAGGGAAAAGAAAAGGCAAAATGAAAATTACTAAAACACACAAATGAAAATACTTACATCCTATACTCTAAATACTCATCATCTTTGTATTCCTTCAAACTCCTTTTGGTTCGTTTTCGCCCCCTTTCAATGTGGAACCTTGTTGGGAACTCAACATTAGTACATTCTCCAATAATAAACTCATCAACTCGTGCATATGGAATAAGAGCCACATCATCATATCGCTCTGCCGTTCCAAACTTTGTCCACATCAAATCAGCCGATGAGAAGTCTTCCCTTTCTGGATTTTGTACTGGAAGACTACTGATAGTTTCAATTATTTCCATCTGCTTAAATTTCAATCCTTTGAATGATAAATTACACTGTCACAGACCCACATTAGCATTACGGCACAAAATCAACTGTAAATTGAAAAGTTCAAAAGAAACAACAATTAAGTTAGAACATACAGGAAAAAAAATCCACCTACATACAACATCTCTCAACATCCCCTTTTTTTGTTCCATATTTATCCGTTTCTCTTTTGCCTATTTTATTCATGTCATTCAAAACAATATTCAAACCATTCAATTTTCAAAGAGGTATTCATTGAAACTATTTTAAAATGAAGGGAAGTAAGAGTTTTGAAGCAATACTAAAGCCGTCAAGAAGTTAAAGTCAACAGAACCGAAAAAAAGTACATATCAATCACCAAAATAAGAACCAAAATTTAAAAGTATGGTGCCCAGAAATTGGGGAATAAATGAATACATATACATATAAAGGAAATAAGATAAAAACCTGCAAGGCAAAAAGTGAACTTTGAAGGAACAACCATATATCTACCAATTTATCTAAATCTCTCCATGTTTATGTGCAAGAAAGTATACGCGTCATGTATATACGAACAGAGAACTTACCGGTGCTCAGTAGCTGCCACAGTAGAGTAGAGAGAGAGAGAGAGAGAGAGGGTTTTGAAGAGATGAAAAATCTTGCTTCTATAGAAGCCTATAAATTGTGTTTTTATTATAAAATTATTTTATGCAAATATATTTGTTTTTCAACACTAATTCCTTGATGAATTTTCTAAAAATATTAAAATAATAAGTTTTAAAACTTTTATTTGGGACACTTTATTTTTGTTTTAAATATCTTTAACAGTGATTTTTTATTTTTGAATTTATACATTAATATGAAGTTAGGTATACCTCTAGCGAGGTTAAACCCCTATTTGAGCCTCATTTTTTTGGAAAAAATGAATTTTGTAATAATAATTTTTAGGAGAAAGAATGATTAAAATGTAAGGAATTTTTTTTGATCTATTAGTAAAATTATTTTATGAGATAATATGTGATTAAATATGAATTTTGAAAAATTAAATTTTAAAACAGATAGGCCTCAAATTGGGGATAAATTTGAGTTGAGAATTGCACATAGCGGGACACGTAGATTTATTGTCTACATTTCGTGTCGTGCTTATATTTTTTTTAATTTTTTTTCCTAGGGTAAATTGGGGTATTGGGTTAGAGGCTTGGATAACATATTCGCATTTTGGTATATACGTTGTGAACCAAAATGCGGGTCAAATTGTGAACCAAAATTGTACATATGAGAGAATATGTACAATTTTCGGGTGCAAGCGGTTCGATTTTTGCAGTTTTTGACAAATTTTCAAACCAAACCGTTTTGACCGGTTTGAGAAAAACTCAAACTTAAACCAAACCGTTTTGACCGGTTTGAAAAAAACTCAAACCTAAACCTAACGGTTTGGTCCGGTTTTAAACCGCCGGTTTCGCGTATATTTTTTTCCTGTCTAGTATCTACTTTTATGCCATTAATTCAATATATATATATATCTTACTAGAAATAAATCTAAAACAAACTAAATATATTTACTATAAATTTAAATACCAACAAAATAAAAGTAAAATCACAATAAACTAAAGCATAGTTTTTTATTCGTCATGTTAACATTTTAGGATAATACTTTACGATAAAGATACAATCAAATAAATATAAGGTCCAATAATAATAATAATATTCCTTTTCAACTAGCAAAAGGAATAAACGAATTAATTTTGTCACATGACTCAAGAAACATCAAATTTTGTCACAGCATTAGCAAAAGGAAGAAACATTCACATACTCAAGAAGCCGCAGAACTCATGATCAATTTTGTCCTTCATACACAAAAAAAAAAATTTAATTAGCAAATTGGAAAAAAAAAAAAGAATTAAGACATGGATTCATCTAATAATGGCTTCCAAAAGACAAGTTGCAAATATTTTTTATCCCCCATTCCACTATATACAGGGGTGGACGCAGACTTTTTATGTTGGGGACNGGGGGCACAATCGAACTTTCAAAAAGTAACGAAAAAATTGGGAACATTGATCTAGAGTTATGAACATATCATTCATATTGGTAACATTGATATCGTGAGCTCCACAAAACGAACAAACAATTTCAAAAAAAGACTCATCCATCATCCCCCATCTTTTGAGCTGTACTTTACATAATTACAACAATTTCATGACATTGACAATATCCTGATCTTTTCGTTGTAATGATTTCGTTTATTTGAAATCCCCAAAATCTTTTTCACGTAGATTAAATGCAAATTCAAATTTAAAAATCAATCATAGTAGAAGTTCCTAAATCAATTGCCTTCTCCTAAATCCCTAAAAGTCCTAATTAAAAATTCATAACTATCAATTTCCAATAAAACCCTAAATTCCTAAATTAAAAAAAAAACCCTAAATCCTTGTATCCCAAAAATCCATAAATCCCTAAATCAGAAAACACAATTAAACTCAATAAATTAACACGATTCATTTACCTCAATAAGAATTAAGAAACACAGTTACACAAATGCATTATACACATTGCAGTTAACACAACAATTTTCTAAATTCTTTCTCAAAAAGTGGTGGAATGGCCGAAGAACTTACCTCACCAGAGTCCGGAGACCGAGAGAGATCAGAGAGGAGTGAGGACGGGCGTCGCGGAGTGGTGCCAGCAGCCAGCCCGTGAATGGTGAATAACTCACTGTCGTAACTCGTGAGCCCCGTGGGAGAGCCGGAGAGGCTAGAGAGGACTAAGGATGGGCGGAGAGAGCTTGGAGTGACGGAGTAGAGCGATTCGGGAGGGAGAGAAAGAGAGAGAGCAGACGGAAGGAGAGGCAGAGGGCTTTACTGGAGCTGGAGAAGGAGAAGTGAAGTTTTCTTCTTTTTCACTTTGTTTTAATTTAAAAAAAAAAAAAATTGAAATCAAA